CCACCCCCCCCCCCCCCCCCCCCCCCACACAGCCATGGTACCATTCTAGAGGCAAGAGCGTAGAATATCCCCACCCCTCCCTATGAGTAATGATGCGATCTATGAAAACCTAGAATATCCACATCTCCGTAGATAATCCCCACCCCAATAACTATAATGTTTGAGGCATCCTAAGCTAGCATTTAATAATAATAATAATAATAATAATAATAATAATAATAATAATAATAATAATAATAATAATAATAATAATAATAATAATTCAAAGATTCTTAAATTTTAAAGCATAAATTGCGATAATGGAAATGGATTATGCATGGATAAAAATTGTGCACTAGTACTACGTACCAAAACAATAACAGAAAAATAAAGGATTATTATTTTGATAAATAAATTCACATCATTTTGTGTTAATACGTAAAAAATGATTCAACTACATATAAATTGTTTCAATTAAGATGCAAACATCATCTGACAAATAACACACTCATGCGTTTTCAAGCAAAAACTAAAATTAAGACATCAGTGCAAAAAGACGGAGAAATTAAAAGAACAGACAAAATGGAGATATTTTTATTTGGTTTTGACTTCTAAATACTTAGAAATTCACAAATTTGTAAAGTCTACAGCGTAAAAATTAAAATAATGCAAAAAAGAGTTTTTAACACATAATTGAATGAAGATGCAAAAATAATAATACAGAGTAATAAACATCAAAAGCTGAAATAAGTTTCTACTATCTACACAAGTACCCCCATTTGAAATATAATTTCTTATTTTTATTCACGACTGAAGTTGTATTATATAGAAATTTGAAGGTTGATCATTGTTGACAAAACATAAATTACATTTATTAAATATTTTATTAAAAAGATATTCTTTTAATTAATTATAAACAATCTGAAAAGTTTACTTTCTAATTTTTAAATTTTATTTATCATTCATTTATTACATTCTTATCCTTCCATGTTCAATGAGTTTTTTTCTCGAAAATGGACGGAACTTCATTCTCTTTCTCAATAGTTTTCCAATTTTTCTTTTATTTTATATCTTTTTTCAATTTTCTATTTTATTTGACAAAAAAATAAAAATATTTAACTTGAGTCATATAACTTATACTCCGTATGATTTACTATGTACTACCTCCGTCCCAGAGTATTTGTCCACTTTCATTTTTACACACCATCCAATACACTTCTTTAATCCATTTTATCTTGTAATTTGTATATTAAAAAATTGTAGAAATTATATATTAATAATCTATATGTTAAGACAAATCAAACAAGATCACACATGACTATATTTAGGCTTACACATTGAGAGAATTTGATGAGTCAAAGTACTTAGATGAACAGATCTAAAAGTCAAAACTGGACGAATACTCTAGGATGGAGGGAGTATATGTTAACTTTTTCCGTTAGTTGTTTTCTGACTTTCCTCTAAACTAATTTGAATTTAGAAACACTACAAAGAATATTTTATAAACAAAAATAAACAATGAATAAACTTATGATAAAGGTATCTTGTATCTTTGTGGTTTGAAAAATGCGCATCAATGTCCCTAGAAAAAAATGAAGGAAAAATAGTCCGATGGAATATTTGTGCAACCTTTTGAAAAAATTAAGAGAGAGAGAAAAAATTGTAATCTAATTGGGGACGGAGGGAGTATATGAGAATGATGAATTGGGGGTATTAGAGACTTGTAGTACGACATCCGTCCCAGTGTATTTGTCGGGTTTGACTTTTTTGAGTCAAACTGGATAACTTTGAACTCCAATTACTCTTAATTTGTATTGCATATATATTAGCATAACGAAATACAATTTTAAAAATTTCCAATATGACAAATTCAATAAAATCATTTTTATGTTAAAATGTACTCCCTCAATCCACCATAGATCTCACTATTCACAGGGTCAAACTTCACTCACTTTGTTTGCTCATTTTTATTAGTCACTTCGTAAAATAATATAGTCTTGTCACCTCTACTTTTGTATAACTTTTCATGTAGTTTATTACTATATAAATTTTATTTTAAAATTTTACTCCTATAATCAATTAAATTAATTGAAAATAAAGACAGTCAAGCCTCATAATGCGTAGTGAGAAGATCTTAGGTGGACGGATGGAGTATTAGAGTATTTATTTAATTGGAATATACGGAGCATACATAAGAACGATGAATTGGGGTATTATAGACTTGTAATACGGAGTATAATAAAGCCAAAGGAGTAAAAATAATAAATGCCGAGTATATTGGCAACCCTAAGCTAGCTCCTACAAGGACTCCTAGGGAGTAATTCATAAAGTGTAATGATGATAAGCAACTGACAACCTAGCTCCTCTAGGAGTAATTAAGACGTAGTAGATGTAATGATGTGAGCTATGGCAACCGAGCTTCTACAAGGACTAGCTCCTAGCTAGGAGTAGTATAAATATAAGGCGGTTGGATCGTGCAAATGCCACAACCTAAACAGAATGGCACTCCTACTCTTCTTTCTCACTCTCGTTCTAACTCCTCCTTCCCCAGCTACAAATGCTTTTCCTTTTCCCTTCACCACCACCACACCCCCGCCTCCACCCCATTGTCCATGCGGCGGCAATCTCATCCCGCCGCCGCTTCAACCACCAACTTCTCCGCCCCCCTCTCCCGGCGGCAACGTCACCTACCCGCCGTCTCCACCACCAACTTCTCCGCCCCCCTGCCCCTGCAACAACACCAACACCACCCAGCCCCACCCGCTGCCTCCACCACCAGTTTC